TTGATATTTTCATGCATCTAATGATGTTTAGTTTTGCTAAAGAAATAAAATCATAATTGATGATTCTAACCTAAAAATAAATATCTAAAGAACAAGAAGATTTGAGGAGCATTCAATGTTTACTAGAGATGAAGAAAACATGAATTTATAGAAAACTTACCATATGAGAAGATACCATTAGATAACTAAGTGAAATAAGTAAAGAATCCTGAGGAAAACCAATGGGTGTAAACTTCTTGACTTGCAGTGGAGAAGATGACAAGTTAGAGTAAAGGAGCAGGTAAGAATGAATACCAACTTTGCTGCTATTTTTTTCTTTTTTTTTTTGGTAAACTTTGCTGCTTTTAATACTAAGGATACAAATTTTTTAATTTCTAAATAAATAAAAATGTCGACTTAATTTTTTTAAAAATAAATATACCAACTTAGTGAGTTTCCTATTTAAGGATTTGGTGGGTGACTAAGCTAATGTGGCTGATGGAAATTTCTAACGGTTTGCTGACATGTTTAAAAGAAACCTTGTATTGCTTACATGTTTTGCTGATTGGATGAAACCAAAATATCTATATATATATATATCATATTAGTGGGACCCATTAAAACATTTAAACCAAATTTCGTTTATATAAGATGTTTGGGATAAAGAGAATCAAAGGGTGGGGAAAAAAAATTGACACATAGGCTTTCTCAGAGCCAGCTTATAGAGGAAGATTCTGTAGAAGTTGTAGCAGATAGTATTAATGTGGAGAAAGAAGTGAACAATGAAAGTGACAACGATGACATTGAGGCAGGTGAATTTGATTCAAAAACCAAGTATCAGAGGAGCATAGACACTGTAGAAAGCATGAGAGGAAGTGGATTGGGCTTACAGGAGGAGCCTACAAAAAAAGGATTGGGCCAAGTACAAAGGGCAAAAGAAGAAGAGGAGAGGGCCGAATGGGCCAACGAATCCATTGAAAAAGAACAGAGGAGAAACGATATTAGGCCCAACTTCGAATTAGTAAGAAAAGATCAATAAGAAGCTGCAAGATGACAAGAGAAAGGGAATCACTAGAACAACAGCCCATCCCAGACAAAGATGAGGAGTGATGGTAGCATTGGAAAGGAGTAGATGGGTAACAACAACAAATCAGAAAAGAAAAGGAAGAGAAAAAGGGCAAAAACAAGTAGCTCGGTGTACCAAAGAGCAACACTCCTAGGATTTTTTTTTTTTATCAGCAAATAATGATATTTATTGATAAACAGAGTACAAGGGGTATCTCAAACCCTTAAACATCAATAGTTGAGAGACATAAATGAACAAGAGTGGACTAACCCTGCCCAATAGTGTCGACACTATACCCGTGTCGAATTTATGTCCTCCTTTACAGTTTTTACATAACTCGCTGTTCTGATCATCAAAAAACTTCCACTTTTCAAATCCACTGACACGCAATATCGTTGAGCATGTATTTACTACAGCTTAACTAACACGCTACAGTAAAATACCTGCTCAATGAAGTCTTCATGCCCCAAACAAATTTCAACTTGCACTCCGTTCTGCAGTGTAGCCTTCTTTTTGTTGTTTATGAAACAATTTCATTGCTTGTTTGTGGCTTCTCATTGACAGAGCACACGCTACAGGGTTAACCTTCCACTCATTAAATGAAAAGGCACAACCATTTACCTTATTCTTGATCCATAAAAATGATTTGGCTTGAATCATATCTAGTAATCTTCCCCTGATGATAGCTTCATTATCAAATACCTTACCATTTCTCCAATACCATAAATACCATGATACAACAAGAAAGATACAAGCACCCATCTCCTTCCCTACTACCCTACCCA